GGATCGTGGATGGTAATACACTTCTTAAAACACAACCCTGTATTCCATCAACCACTGATTATTGTCTACACATTTTAGACTATCCACACTGCAGGGAAATTTGTTAGCACCTTTCCAGGAAAATGGGATTAATGAAATGTGATATCCTTGGCAAAACCTTTACAGTATAAATAGAAGTGGAGCCATGGCTTTCCAGATGAATGTATACTAAGTTTTAATGTCTACAGTTCTGAACTTGCAAAACACTACAGATATGTCTGTAGTGGATACAGCAGGATACCCATTGACCTTATTCGAGAGTATGAAATTAAAAATAAACACAGTACAGGAATGAATATAAAATAATCTTAAGGACACTAGTCAGAAAAAAAAACCATAAAACTCTTCTGAAAAATATTAGATTACAAAAATATTCATCTGAAATTTTTCATTTTGTAAGTACCAAATCTACAAATTTGGATAGTGAATTGATTTGTGGAAAAAAAATGCTACAAATATTTTTACTAAATATTTACTAGCTCTCATAGTGATCCTTTTTAGTTAATGTTTACAGAGAATCAAGGTACTGCTATTTGTAATGCTCTGGTCAAAATTAAATAAGCTGTATTAGATAATCTTTCTATATAGCTATTGTAAGTAAACTAGTAGGAGAAAAGTTGCAAAACTACGAAAGTCCTGGAGTGGCCTAGGAGGGCTCTTCCAAGCCATCAGGCATTGTTTGAACTGAGGAAGCTCTGACCATCCTCGTGCAAAGTATTGCACAGGGTGCAAGAGCTAAAGATCACCTCAGAAATAAAATAAGACATTGTAAATATTGGCCTATGGCATAAAGGTGTGAGATAATAGGACCCCAGTGGCTGTGAAAGAGCTACTATCTCATATTAACTTGCACCTGCTTACTACAAAGGGCTTTGCTAATGGCAGAGGTACAGCTCAGTTTGTGCATGGCTGGTTATTGTGGACAGGATCAAACCTGGAGACTCTTTGAGAGGGAAAAAGTGTCATCTTAACTGAGGAGTTTTATCTGCTATGGGCTACAGTTTTAGGCTTTTACTACTAATGAGCATTTATTTTAAGTGATGATAGTATGTCAACGTACATTAAAAAATACAGAACTCCCTGTCCCAGTTACAAGAACAGCCAAAGTCTGAAGCAAAGATAAAACTTGTGTCCAAATATTGAAGTATTCATAATCTTTTCTTGTAACCATGTAGTAGGAATACGTAATCCATATTTTCTAGTCCAAATACCAAGAGAACTTTATAATTGTCATTATGCATCTCATATTCAGGGAATATATTGAATTGTAACTAATACATTTAGATACCAGAAGAGATTTTTAGGTGGACATGGCATAGTAATAAATACAAATTTTATTATGTACAGTTATATTGACACAACATTAAATAAATTGTATCAGAAATGATGGAGTAGTTGTGTTTGCCTTTTCCTTTTAATTCTGTACCCTAATATGAAAAAAGCATATATAGTGACAATAGACATATAGATTTATAGAAATAACACAGGAAAGAGAAAGACAGACTGCTATGTTGATACATTTAACTTGCCCTACATTAGGGATTTTCAGCACACAGGTTTGCTCTTCTTGCTTGTCTTTCATGTTTAAAAGAATCCACAAACCTCAGAGTTTAGGGCCAGAAGTTGAAAATCACATATGTGTGTCATGAGTCTGCTGAAAATTTTTACCTGCATGATACATTTTCTGGATCCGTACCCTTCAGTTGGAACTGCTGATCAGTTTGAATGTAGCTTTGCCAAGTATATATCTATATATCACTGCTATTGCTTGAGAATCAATTTGAACTGTATGTATGGAGCTGTATGCATGTATGGAGCAGATACATGCAGTCCAAGGCAACCAAATGTATTCAATTTTTGGATTTCCAAAAATTTTAGTTCTTTTTACAAGGGTGTGTGGTGATAGTATGAGGGGGAATGGCCTTAAACCAAAAAAGGGTAGATTTAGATTAGATATTAGGAAGAAATTCTTTAATGAGAGGCTGGTGGTGAAGCACTGGAACAGGTTGCCCAGAGAGGCTGTGGATGCCCCATCCTGGAAGTGCTCAAGGCCAGGCTGGATGGGGCCCTGAACAACCTGGTCTAATGAAAGATGTTCATGCCCATGGCAGGGGGGTTGGAACTGGATGATCTTTAAAGTCCTTTCCAACCCAAATCATTCCTGCAACAATTAGCTCAGTTGGTTAGAGCATGGTGCTAATACCACCAGGCTTGTGGGTTCAATCCCCATCTGGGCCATTCACTAAAGAGCTGGAGGATCCTTGTGGGTCCCTTCCAACTCAGAGTACTCTGTGATTCCATGATTCTATGATTCTATGATCACTTCAGTGATCTGAGATAACACCTGTATTCTGGAAATTGCATTAGGCATAACTAAATCTCATGATTTTGTACAGAACTGACTGTTGAATAAATAGGACAAGAGAAACGCCTTCTTCCAGAGGTGTCACTGACTCTTGAAACTGTTGAAACAATCAAAACATTGCTCCTGATAGAAAACATTTTATTCGGAATGAGGCATAGTCACACAGTCACACTCCAAGCCTGCTCGGAGTCTTTCAGCAGAGAGTTGTGCCCTCTGCTGCTGGCTTGAGCGTAGTGAAGGAATAGCAGTAAGAAACAGCCTGAATAATTTTGACCTGAAATATGGGACAGTTCAAAGACATCTGCTAACATAACTGTTTTTATAGGGTGAGGTAATCCAAAAACAATTTGTGATATTAGTATTTTAGTCAAAATGCTACAGAAAATTCGTGTTTGTTTGTAAGTTGCATTGGGTGGTTTCTAGTCCCCTGAAAGACTCAGCAGTGAAAACCAGGAGCAACAGAACTTTCAAGAAGGATTTTTTTTTCTTTTCTCAGTGATGAAGCATTAAAATTCATTATTTCTTCTGAAACAGTTGGTTTAAAAGTTCTAACTTCTCTATCAAAACAGCAGAACAAAACAAAATGGTATATGGTTACTGAAAAGGTGATTTTTTTTTATTATTGAACCTTTTTTTAATCAAATACTGCATACAGCTTGATTCAAAGCTTATTTGGCTATATTACTGGATGGTTATTCTGCCTCTAATTTTCCATTTTAATTTTACTGTCCACATTGGTGATAGTCACAGAGAATAATTCCCGTGAGCCAGGGAGGGATAGAGTGCTTCTCTCACACTTTCTCAAAAAGAGTTCTTAATAACAAAGTGACAGGGGAAAAAAAAAAAAAGTCATAACTTCAGTGTTGGTTGTTTTGCAGCTATTCTAAACAATTTTTCTCTTTGAACTACTGAAGTCCTGAAAATACATCTACACAAGTAACACATTAAAGTTTTGTTACAAATGTAAAATGCAGATACCTACCTATGGAAATAAGCATATTTATGCACCATTCTTAAGATTTTATTACACTAGCAGCGTTCTCTCCTTTTATGTTCCACATTAAATTCCACACACATAGTGCAAGGTGTAGAAGTAGGGGAGCAAAATCCCTCCCATGGTAAGAGATCAGGTTTGTGACCACTTCAGGAACCTGAACATATACAAGCCAATTGGATGATGATATACATCCTGAAGTCAATTGGATTATGATATACATCCCGAAGGCCCAGGGGAATTGGCTGACTTAGTTGCCAAGCCACACTCCATGGTATTTGAAAAATAATGGCAGTCAGGCGAAGTCCCAGGTGACTGGGAAAAGGGAACCATTGCACTCATTTTTATAAAGGGTATAAAGGAGGACCCTGGAAACCACCAACTTGTCAGCCTCACCACCTGGGAAGATCATGAAACAGAGTTAAAGACAGGGAGAATGAGTTAGAGATGTAGGCATTGCCTAGGGAAATTTGAACATTGTTGTGCAATAATTTTTATAATTCATTACATTTGAATTAAGCCATACGTAGATAATGGCTGTTCTCTGAATTTTTATCTGTGGTGAAATCAATCATGTGAATAAAGTAAAACAGTCAACAGTCCAGAATTTATCACTTTGTTCAAATAAACTAACAGAATTGAGAGTTCAGATATGTGTATTTATAGGAAAAAACAGAGTATCCAGTAAGTAACTGTGAGGGATGTTGCAAGCCGGGGATGATCTCAGCTATTACAAACAGGAGACTAGTTCTAAATGAAGAGGACTATAAAAGCTATAATTAGCTAATGCTTCCTGAAAGCCTAACCTAAACTGTTGTTTTTTTTCCATTCTGAAGTGTAGTACCATAGGGAGATCACATACCATGTAGTAAATTCAGACAGAAAAACAAATCTTATAAACACAGTATTATCTGCCATTATTTCAGGGCAATATTTTAAACTTTCTGAATCAGATACTTTTGCTTTAATGATGCTGTGATTGCTGAAGGACTGTTTACTTATTATAGTGGAAATAAAACAAACACATCACAATTAAATGTCACCAAGTTATGTTACTTTTATTTACATGCTCACAGGTGATGCTTCTTTAATCTCCAATGTGTGCTGTAAATTCTGAAGAAAGCAGATGGGTTGGTGAAGAAAACAGAATCCTTTGTTATGCAAAATCAAGCTTACTTCTCTTGGGAGTGGTTTCATTGCTGTTTTATTTATTGTTTACAAGTATTCATGGTGTTAACATAAAAACCTGATGAAGGATGGCTGTGTCTGTTCTGCATGAATCTTATTGTCTGTCCCCAGAGAGTTTTCAAAGTGTGCAACTATGCAACGGTTCAAACACTGACTGAGAATAAGTGAAGGGGCACAGGAGACCCTTCTCACAGAGGACCAGTAAATGTAGCCTGGCCTTTGTTGTTGACACGTGGGTAACAGACAGAACCATCAGAGAAGATGGAGGACTACTAGCAATGCAAAGGCTTTTCAGGAGTGTGGTTAACGCTGTCTTACAAAAGACAGGTGGTTTGTACCATCTGCTAGAGATGCAGGAGAACACAAAATGCCTTGCTGAGACACACGTTGGCTAAATAGGGAATCAGGCTTGATTCTCCCAAGTCCACCCCAGCACACCTGAAGAACATCTGGTAAGTTAATTCAGTAACAAGATCAAGTTCCATTAATTTTTGAAATAAATGCATAATTTCTTCAAATGCAAAATTTTATATGAGTTTAAAAATAGACAGCTCTATTTAGCATAAAACTCCAATATCTAGAGTAACAAGAAAATGTTACTCACTCAAACTCTGTCTACAAAGTGTACAAGCGTGAGCACCCCAACTGAAATCAAGGGGACTGGTTATAAACTCTAAATTCTTCACGTGCTTAAATTCTCTGCTAGGTTGGGCTTGTGTGCTAGGTGGATTAGCTGTCCAGCAGCAGTGCTTTTTTCTAGTTTGGGAAGCAGAGGAACATCTTGCAACCATTTTGTCCTACATGGCACAAATCTGTCACTGTAACAGTGTATCAGTGGTCCACTGAACTCCTTTTTTCTTCCTCATTGTATTAAATATATGAAAACTTTAGTTATGCCATAGAAGCACATGACTGACTGAATATCTGACTGTCTAGAAACAGCAAATCTTAGTTTTTCTGGGTGAATGCTAACAGTTATGATATGTTTGGATACTAGATGATAAATATATCATATATCTGTGATCCGTAAGGAGTTTTTCTCCACAGGGAAGATGTCTTGCCTTCATTGAGGCACTGGAGCTATAGTGGTGACTGCTGAAGGAGAAACATCAGTTTCTAATGCATCTTCTTTCTGAAAACCAGCAAAACTCTCATAATACCAAATGACTCATGATCAGCATCTCTCCTGCAATTGGGTTCTGCATATAAGCATGACTGACTACTAAAACATAAACCTTTTGAGGAAAAACACCTTGCTACAAATATAAACCTTTTATGGAAAAGCACATCCATAATGTCCATTTTCCAGTATTTCAGGATGCTTAGCAACCAGTGTTATTAGTCTGTAGACTACCACTCAGAAAAGGAAAGTCAAATAATAATGCCAAAAGCAAAAGACTGCTGTCAAAGTGGATAAATTCATCAGAGTTAATGAAGGTGTTGTCCTGCACATGATGAAACAAAGAGACTTAACATAACCTTTTAAAAAAACATTTGGGATTAGAGCATTGCTACTCCATATGAGACAGCTTACGGTCTCAGAAATTGTGTTTGGTAAGGATTACTTGACTTCATGGACTATACATCCAGTTATTGAAATGAAATTTTTTTATTTGCTTGTGGTTTGGGTAGATTATCTGTTATTTTACCATACAGAATAATTGTTGGACTTTTTTTACAAGATTACAATTTATTATTTTATTATATTCAAAGATATTGTCAAACACAGACCTTTAATAAACTCAGAGAAGTAGAAATGCAATGCATTCAGCATCTCTGAATTTATAGCTAAACAAATGCTACTGGTCCTTGAATACACAGATGAAAATTGTTGGCCTGTTGCCCAATTGTGTGTGTAAGACCTATAATTGAAACACTAGGTTCACTGCCTCTCTCAAAAAGGATATAGTGATGCAAGGTTAGAAAAATATTTTCCATGTCTAATGCCTTAAAATACTTTGCTATAATTTTTATAGAGAACCTTTGCAAAAAGCACGTGGTTAAATCTGGAGCGCCCACCAGAAGCACATGGAAGAAGACTAAATAGCTGAATAGTGAAACTAGCTTTACAAACACTGATGTTTAGAGACACAAACTCAGAAACACTAACATGAATTTCAGGTTGCTGTGGATGCTCAATATGCTGTTCATTCCACCCAGTATGCTGCTTGCAGACTATAACTTTGCAAGGTAAAGGTGTTCCTGTAATTAGCATTTGTGTGTCTGTTTTGAAAAACAACAGAGTTTGCAGCAAGCATACTATTCATCTTTAACAAAATCTTGTGAGGTAGAGAGCAGGGTGCTACTCTCTGCACAACTACAACAATGTGATCTCTGGCCAGGGAGTGACACCCACAGCTCCTCTGAGGACATCAGTGTTAAAGATAGGACTAGGTTTAATGACTTCTCATTTTTTGTCATATCCCTTTCATTACAGCTGGGCTGTCCTGGCAGAATTTGTTTTGTGACTAGGTGAGAAATCTTGTCTGTGTCAATGTGGAATGTCCGAGAAATTGGTACATATTGATTGATTATATAAGCTGCCAGTATGGATTTGCTTGAGACTTCTCATAGGCATTTACTGATCTATGATTCTTCATTATCATATATTTAATCCTCATTTCTCCATTTCAACCCAGCATATCTCTTAAAACTAATCCATAAGATCTTCTAAGGAATTAGGTCAGTTATATTTTGTATCCAAGTTGTGCAGTAGTGAACGGGTTCATTATTCATGTCCTCTGAGAGTGCATCTGTGTGAATCCTGATCACAAAGGTTTCATTGATCTTAACTCTGAACAAACCAAAAGCATTTCACAAGTCTAGAATGATTGGTTGACTACACAGAGAGTTTCTTGCCATTACTAGAATTGAGGGAAATGCATCAACTTCGCACCAACCAAATGTGAAGAATCAAAGGGAATTTTTTGTATTCTCAACCACTTTCCACAGTCAAAAATGTGTTGTCCTCCAATTACAGTGACTGGATATGTGCCTGTGACGAGCTGGGGAGGACACACAATCACTGCTATTGGGAGGACCAGAGTCTGTAGTTCCAGATGGTGCATGTGGCTTCCAGCATGCTCAGGGTTAGGGATCCCAAGGTAGGATAAAAAAAGTGCTGCATTGTTCACTATTACAGATGTCTTTATGTGTTGATTATAAGCCGTGACCATTAATGTAGTAGCAGAAATAGCAAATACCAGAGGGCACCTCTCAGTGTCACTCCTTGGTATGATGCTGCTATTGCTTCCATAAAAGCCTGAAGTGCAGCACCATGCAGCAGTAGGCACTGTATTCATTGCAAGCATGAAGCATAACTTCCTTATTTACCTCTAGCTTGTCATATTAAGACCCTTACTAATCTTTGCAGACAAGTTAGGAAGATCTGGAGTGTTTGTATCAGAAAATATTCTGTCCTTGTCTAGGAAGAACAATTCCACAGTGACGTAAAGGGTTTACTAATAAAAAAACCCTCAATTAAAATATCTAAAAGTTACCTATTATATTGATACCCTTTACTGCTTTTATAGAAAGCTCTGAAGCATCCTTAAGGTCAAGAGTAAAGAGCTTAGTTCCGAAAGGGTCTGAGTATTTTGGCTCCATACTTCAAACATATTTCTGTACCTTAGCACTACTCTGGGTATGTAAGTTCACTGAAATGATTATGAGACTTGAATGACAGAGTTTGATTGGATCACATAAAATATGTCTAGCATCTATCATTAAACCAACCATGAATCTTGGCATGCGTTTAGGAGGGGAAAAAAATGAGTAGGGTTGTGGGGTTTTTTTCAAAATACATAATGTAAACATGCATTGAGCAACCAACATATTTGTAGAGAATGGAGAGTAATAACACAGAGAAAGTCAAAGAAATTTGAAAAAAGAGACTGAGGAACAGAAAGACACAGGAAGGTAGGAATGGGGAGAGACAAACTAGCGAAATCTTTTGTGCTGGACAAACCACTGTGCTGAATCATCCTGAACTGTCAGAGCAACAGCATTTCTGTTAGTTGTACTGGCAACTTTATAGTGCAGATGAGGTTTAGAATCCATAGCCCAAGCCTGTATGTGGTCATGCTAGAGAAAGCTGAACATAGCATAGGAGCCCATTGAGATGTATCAGTATAAATTCAGCAAAATGAGATTTAGAATGCACAGGATAGAATCTGAGGATTTTGTTCATAAGACTGCAATTTATTACTGACTGTAAAGTGAAGTGCTGCTCTATTACTGTATCATCAGATAGATTTTTAAAGATTGCATCTTAGAATCACTGCATATCTTTTTTTAGTCTACTTCTGTGGGATTTAAAAATGCTTTTGATAGTAAATTTCTTAAACTCTTTTGAGAAGATCATTTACATTTCCATCCTATATAATTTCTAAGTTAGTGAAGGCTTTTTGTTATGGTTTTGTCCCCCCTTTCTTCTAGTAAGACCTGCTCTTCAATATGTGCATGGAATTCCTTATACTGACTCCCTTTTTATTATATAGTACTTACACTTCAATGCACATATAAATGTCTATATTTCCACATGTCCAGTTACCTTTTTGTTATCTACAGATGATTCTTTCAAAGATGCTTTCTGGTCTCCGGGTGAAATCTTGACTCCATCAAAGAGAAGCACAAATGTTGATAGAAATGGGATGCTATGTTCTGACCTTTCGAAGTGCACAAATGATACAGATTCATAAGCAGTGACTCTCTTGGGAAAAACAGATACCAAGGGATTTCTGGAAGATGTTTATGAGACAAAAACTGTTCTGCCTGCAGAGAGCATATTTCAAGGGCTGGAAACACATCCAATGATTTTGTGATAACATTCTCTTTCAGGGGGATGTATCTCACTGGAAAATATGCATGAAGTATTTCCAATTTGCTGCATCATTAATTATGTGGCATATTTCATTGAGATGCTGTTTGTAAAACCCTTAGGAACTTCTCCAGCAATGTTAGCATTTCCATAGTCTGGTTAGGACTGTTCCCAGGTAGATGCTACTGCCAGAGTATCACACAAGATGAAGGTCATACATAAAACTCTGCCTTGATATAGAAGAGTTGCCAATCTGCTAGAATTTCCAAATGGGCACGTACAGATCTTATAAAAGCAAACAGTACAGGTCAAATTCTCATACTTGGATTATTTCAAGTCAGACTGTGCCAGTGTACATAAAAGTAGACAGCCCAGCTCAGATTTGGATTTCAGTGTGAGTGCCGTTCAAGCAAATCCCTATGGTAAAGAAGAGGAGAGTCATCTTCCTGCAGAGTTTATCAGTTTATTTTTTCAGCTCTGGAAGACATATCTGAAATAGGCAGGCTTGTTTTTTCATTTTTTTGTTTTTTGTTTGGTTGTTCTTTTTGGTTTTGGGTTGGTTTGTTTGTTTTTTGTATCAGATCTGTATGTGATAAATAATAAATTTATTTTTTTAAAATTCTTTTTTCTGCTACTGCTATTCCTTCAAGTCTATGCTCATTTTAATATATTGCCAGAAGGAAAATTGTTCATCTCAGTTTATTTTGCTAAATCTAAAGCCTGGCTTATTATTTCCATGTTTGCTGTATCTCATTGACTGAATATTAAGTTCTGGAAACAGTAATGTATGTTCTGAGCCACAACAGGAGAATGATGGGATTTTGCAAGCAGGGTCCTAGAGTCCAAACTGCAGACTGCTGAGTTACATGCCTTCTGAAATGGAAAGATGCATTAAAAGTCTGCCTAATGTTCATCTAGATGTGCTACACAAATAAAGTGAATGTAGCTAAAAAACTCACTGTGTATAAAACAAAAAAATTGACCCAATATGCTTCTCATTTTCCTTTGGCACATCTCCCAACATGATCTGGCTGTCAGTGGGGGTTTCCATTCATTCCTACAATGTTTTCCATAGCATGGCATCTCGGCAAAGTGGAAGGCATATGACAATTTGGCTTTTTGGCTATGGCATGCCACCATGGTATTCCTCAATCAAAAGCACTGAGTGACATGCCTTTCTTGCACTGCCTGGCATGCAACGTGCAATATGTCAAAAAACACTGCTACCCCTTCCATATTGTGTATTATCAGATTCCTTTCTGTTGTATTGTGTTCTTCCACAAGCTATTAAATATAGTGGAAGACATTTTATATTTAGATTGGCCACAGGCACTGAGTAAATGCTTTTGCTCATTTAACAATGTGCCCAATGTGGGCACATTCCGCACTCCAGTAAAGCCCTTTGCATGCAATCACCCATGGGAAATATCCCTGATCATGGTGGAACCTGGAAAACTTAGCATCAAGCAGGGGGATTCTTGAATTACATCCTACTGGCATATTTACCTCTATGTGTCCCCTTATAGTCAGCCATTCCTAGCTATCATGCTGGCTCCTGGACACAGCTGCTGAGATGAAGCAGCATTTTGATTGTTCTAGTTATGTCAAGGTATTGACCAAGCTAGTCATAGCTGGCAGATCTCAAAGCCACTGCAAGTCACTTTTCCATGCATCATTCTTGTGTGTGTTTTGTGTGCTCTGGGTAAAGCCATGGATCTGAGCCATTTTCCAGAGTCTGCTTAGTCCTGCTTTCCATTCTCAAGAAAGAAAGTCTCTATGACTTAAAGTAAGGTATTTTCTTAAGAGAGATCAGAATGATTATGCCTTTTGTTTGTTTAGCAGAACTAAATTCTGCATCTGAACTGTAAGTCCAAGAGAAGACAGTATTCCAGAGCTACTGCATGTTATTTACTACTGGTCCTCCTGTTTTGATCTTTCATTAAAGTGACAAATGTACAAAACCCTCTTTTGGATGAAGAGAATCTTATTGGTTAGGTATCCAACAGGACCACCATGTTTTATTTATTCTGATAAGCTTTTGAAGTAAACTGTTGTCACCAGGTGCCCAGCTGTGATCCTGTGACTGGGTACCAGTTTCAGACAAGAGCCAGTCTGCAACTGCTGTGTAGGCTAAAACCTCTCACTTTTGGTCTTATTTCATCCCATTGCATTTCTCTTCAGTTACATGGCTGGTTTAATTACCGCAACGGAGAAGCAGTTTAGCACAGAGCTTGATGGTCTATATCTGCTGAGATTGGAGTATTCTGCTTTTTGATATTATATTTTTACAGGTACAGCAGGGGTAGAAAGCTATGTGGCAGGCATCTTTCAAAGTGGAAGGTCAGCTGCCTTCTTTAACGACATCACTTGCTTTTTACTGAAGTCCTTTCATTATAATTCCTGTATTATTTGATAATTCTAAAAGTCTGAGAGAAGCCAAGTTTAGTATTTATTCAGCCTGCACTTCACCTAGCAATCTCCAGTTGTTGCTCAGATCACTTCTGAACAACACTTCCTTCTAGCTTTAAATTCAAAATCAGAACACTATGAATGGATGAACAGCTTTCCTTTTGCAACTAATACTTTTCAACTCCAACCATTAATGATGCTCCTGAAATCTGCCATTTGCTTTGGTCAGTTTAATGCCTGGATTTTCCTTTTACCTTTCTTTCCCTGATTTCTCAAACCTTATCTTCCTGGTGAAACAGATGTCAACTTGCTGTGTCTTACAGTGCTACTGAGTATTACTGAATACAGATACAATCTTGAGCAAGTGTGAACTGATCAAAGCATAGAGTAAGGAAGGTTGAAGTGTATTCCCTGCTGTTTTGCAGTCTTCTCATGTACTCAGAGGTAAGAAAATTCAGCCAGGATTTTTTAAATTGTAGGACAACTTTTATGAAAGCCATCCTTAAAAATATTGTACCTCATTTCTCCACCTGAACAGTGGATATAAACATAATTTCTTTTCAGAAGATATTGTGAAGATGCTTTCACTAGTGGCATACTGTGGCACTGTGAGTAAAAGTACTGCAGCTGGGCTCTCAGAAATCTTGAAATTTTTTATGAATGGTATAGCTTAATCTTGTTATGCTCTTGCCTTTGCTATTTCAGATGGCTGTTGGCTTTTAAAACTTGTCTAAGGTTTACAAAATAGAAACAAATCACTGTAATGAAGTTGTGGGTGCACTAGGTAACACTGCTCTTTTTCAACATTTAAAGCTGTGACCTTTTCTTAGTTATAACAGCACTTCCATGACAGAAGTATTTACTTCCTAGAGAAAGCAATGTTATACAAGTTAGATGATAATTAGTTTCTGAGCCAATATCAGAAGAAAAGGATAAATGTGAAAGTAAGTCCTAAGGGATGCAAAAAAAATGTTATTCTGATTATCTCTTATTGCAGACAAAGCTACTATACCTTTGATGAGGAAAGCAACAGGAAAAGAACACATTCAGTGAGACGCTGTGACATGACTCAGTACCTAGGGTTGACTCCAAGTACCTACACTGTCAATCTGAGCATTTCTCGCTTACATGTAAGTCACTGCCTGGAAGCCGTAATATGCACAAGCTGACAAAGTACTGTTCCTCTGGGTGCAACAGGACCAACTCCCTGGAAAGTTAAAATATGAAGACTTTTGCTGTTGGATGGGCATCCCTATTTATATAATAGAGAAGATTGTATAAATTGTCACATAGAGCAATGAATTTAAATACTAGGGGAAGAACTGACTTGCACCTTTTTCTGTGTAACACAAATTATGTCCCTTACCTAAATGGCTCCAATAAACATTCCTTGTATATATGAAGCTGATTAAAGTCTCTCTCAGACTTCCATGAACAAGGCCACTAAAGTTGTATGTTTATACAGACAGAAAATGAGCTGTTCCAATTAGAATTTCATGAGCTCACAAATGTTTCTCTCTAGACAGATGAGATAGAAACCAATTCAAAAGGATTAATATCTAAGCTTTCTGAATTAAAATTGCAACAGGTGTCAACTTTACATGCCTGCCCTTGCAACAAATATGACATTATCCAATTGATTGATGACAGAGTAAAAAAGTGTATTTTCTTTTGTCTGAGTTCTCTTTTAAAAATGAAAGATGTAATTTTTCATAACATTGTACCTAAATCATCTCCTAGTATTTTCTTAATAGAATTCTGCCAAAAGAAGATATGAGAAACTACTTGTTTTGAAGGATACTTTGTTAATGAACACATCTTTGTATCCTTAAAGATGACAAGAGGATGCTTCTAAAATACTGTGTAAGTTGCTGATGTTCAGTGAGTTTCAGTTTGACATATCTTCTCTATGTAAACATACGATACACCTTGCTACATAAATTTTCTCAGATACAGATTCCTAAGTGACAGATCTTGTCCTACCTTTCTCTCAAAGGGATCAGGATGCCTACTTACAATTAAATTCAGAGTGAGAAGAATTTACTAAACAAGTTCAATGAAATAATTTTAGTTATTCTAAACAAAGTCCATCTTTATTAGCCTAGCTACATACATAAACGAGAAGGGGAATCTTCACCTTTACCTTCCAGGTGGTTTTGGGACATGAAATAAGACAAAACTAATCTTAGGTTCTGCATATTGCAGCTTCTCGGCCTTTTTTCTGTACTTCACTAATACAAAGGGTTTATAACCTCTCAAAACTGCATGTTTATTTCCATGCTGCATTCCAGTGCTGATGGGTACAAGGATTTAAACAAGTTCACTGCAACTATGTTGGAAATCTCCATGGTTTGTGATGCTTCTTGGCTGACTCCCAAATATTTATTTTGGAATGGTATTTAACTAGAGTTGCGTAGTTTGAGGTAGTATTTAGCTCAAGGTAGATACAGTGACAGCAGTGTTAATGTGGACTGACAAAGCCAA